GACTCAGTGAGTGAGAGGGGCCTAGCGACATTGGTGCAGGGGGGCGCACAGGAGCAGGTGGCTGCCCAAGCCGGAGTTCAGGGTCAGATGGAGGAGACCTGCGTGGTTGGTGGATGAACCACGGGAGTTGATGAAAGACTCCTAGAGAATGTTCTCAGCAGGAGGAGGAGTGGGGCAAAGGCGGGACTCAGGCCGTGGTGGGCGGGACCCAGGCCGCGGTGGAGGTGAAGGACGTCCGGGGACACGTCCAGGAGGACATCGATCGCGCGGGCCTGAGCCGGCCACAGTGCGTGGGGGCGGGGCGCTGACGTCACTGCGTGGGGGCGGGGCTGCGGGAGCCGCTGGTTGCACGCCCTTCAGGGAGCTGTGCGCAGACTGGGTTCGCGCCTGGGTTCCGCGCAGCGGGAGTGACCTCAGTGTCCCCGTCTGTATCAGGGGTACTTCATCAGTACCTGTCTAGGCTGGTTAGGAGAAGCACGTGAGATCGTGACGGAAAGCGCTTACAACAGACCTGGCACCGAGGAAGCTCCAGGGACTCGGCTCCTTCCCCTTGTCACCACTGCGCCCCAACAGAGGGAGGCGGCTGCAGGGGGGGCGGCGAACTGGGCCACCCGGCGTTCCGCAGTCGGAACACTGATTCCTCTCCCGCGTGGCCTCTCGCTTCTGCAGGAGCCTTGCTTGTGCTGCCCCCTGTCTGGGCCTCAGTTTCCTCCATATTCAGCAGGAAGCCATAAGGTTACTAATACAACCACCTCACAGGGGTGCCCGGAGCCTGAGTGAGATCCTACAAAGCGAGCACTTGGCACGGGGGAGTGGCCTGCAGCCGCATTCCATAAACAGGGCTGCTCAGCTGAAGCGGTGGCCCAGGATGAGGCCGCAGACTTTCAGCATGAATTTGTGGGGAGGGAGGCAAAGGGACGTAGGAGTTCTAGAAGAGCTTCCAACCTGGGAATCTATTATGTCTGCCGGTCTGGGCTTGTAGAATATCTGGAGACCCGACGTTCTAGAATGCATGAGGTTTCTGGGGACTCCAGAGCGCCCAGTGTTCTAAGGTTCCAGAGTGTTTAGAGCTCTGTGGTTTTAGGCTATTCTAAAATCTTACGTTCCAGAGTGTCCTAGACTGCCAGAATGTCTTAGGGCCTGTGATTTTAGAATCTGAAAGTCTGATATTCTAGAAATTCCAGGGGCCTATAATTCTAGAATGGCTGAATCCCATGTGATGACTCCTTCCCATAAAGATGACGGCTTTCCACACATGGACAGAGACCACGCTTACAACAGGTCCCATCCTTCACTGGTGACCTGAGGTCAGTCCCTCCTGTCTCGGGACCTCCTCATTAATTAAGCCAAAATAGACTCTGGACAATTGCTTGGGGCCCTCTGGGGTTCTGAGACGTTGGAAGCCAGCCTCAAATACCCAAAGCCTTGGGTCATCTCAGTGACGATCTCCAACCTCTGGAATGCAGAATCCAGAGTTCAAGCTCTAGAACCCAGAAATAAGACTATAGGATCAGAATAGAGACCCTAGTTTCCCAGACTCTAAATTCAGACTCTAGAGTCAAGATTCTAACAGTCTCAGAATTGTGAAAACCAGGTCCCTGTCTCTCAATCCAGCCTTTTAAAATTTTATGTATGTATGTATGTATGTATGTATTTTGATTTTTAGTAGAGATGAGGTCTTGCTATGTTGCTCAGGCTGGTCTCAAACCCTTCAGTTCCAGTAATCCTCCTACCTTGGCCTCTCAAAGGCATGAGTCACTGGGCAGCCACAGTCCAGCTTTTAAATGCAAAACACAGATTTGAAACTCCAGATTTTATGCTCCAAAGTCTACCCCTGAAAGCTCAGAGACTAGATCCATCCTGTAGAATCCAGACCCCAAGGTGGGCATGGTGGCTCATGCCTGTAATCCCAGCACTTTGGGAGGCCAAGGATGGCATATCACTTGAGATGAGGAGTTCAACACCAGCCTGGCCAACATGGTGAAACCCTCTCTCTACTAAAAATATAAAAGTTAGCTGGGTGTGATGGCGGGCGCCTGTAATCCCAGCTACTCAGGAGGCTGAGGCAGAACAATCGATTGAACCCAGGAAGCGGACGTTGCAGTGATCTGAGATCACGCTACTGCACTCCAGCCTGGGTGACAAGAGCGAAACTCCATCTCAAAAAAAAAAGAATCCAGATCCCACAATTCAAAATCCCAAATCTACCATTTGTAGTCTAGGCCCCAGGCTTCTCATAGCAGGTGCAAAGGTTTCTGGCCTCGAGTGCCAGATTCCAAACACCAGATTCCGGGCTGCTACTCTGGGCTCTAGATTCGAATGCCCCAGGATCCAGAATCTAGGTTCAAGATCTGTCACTCAAAGGCCCGACTCCAGGATCCAGATTCCAGACCCCAAGCCCAAGAACTCAGACTTTGAAATCCACACTCCAGACTGCAGGTCATTAATCTCCAACTCAAGATCCCCAAATCTGGAATCCAAGACCCAGATCCAGAACCGAAGATCTGGATCCAGAATCCGGGATCCGGAACTCTGCCCCAAGCCCAAGAACAGTGACTCTAGGATCCAGTTCCCACACTCCAGACCCCAAATTCCAGACTCTGTCTTTTGATCTCCTCCTAATTTCTGTTTTTGTCCTCCTGTCCCCTCCCCCTTAAGGAACTGCCCCTGGTGGAGAATTCCTCCTTGTGGACTCAGACAACAGCTTCAACCTAATAAATGCTCATTAGGCCAAGTCTCCCACCCCACCAGCCACCAAGGCGTCTCTGCCTGTAAACCTGACTCTCAGCCACCTCCCACCCCACCCTACACCACCACACCCCCAGACCCAGCTGGGACTGGGAGCTTATAAATTCAGGCATCCTAGTGCCTGCTCCCTTTCTTCTGGCACCCAAGCTACCCTAGATGCTGCTGGAGGACCTGGAGGAGGTGAGAGCTTTGAGACAAGACTGGAGGGAGGGGCAAAGGGGAGATTCACTGTGCCCCGGTCTCAAGGGGAAACGTCAACCACCCTGGGAGAACTGAGTGTCAAGGGCATGGGTAGATCCATGTGTCCTTTACCAATGCCCCAAATTGAACCTGAACCAAGAAAATGTCCTGGAGTGGCCAGAAGGAGCTGCAGTGGTGGGGAGGGAGGGGGATGGAGTGGATCAGGAGGACGTCCCTGAAGCGCTTGTACCAGAGCCAAGAACGTGGTCAGGAGTGATCACGGGTTCAAGTCAGTTCAGCACAACCTCCCGGAGGCCTCCTGTGTACCAGGCCCCAGGCGGGGCAGTGCTGAGGACACAGAAAGAACCTGACCTGAGCCCCATCTTCAAGGCCCCCAGATGGGGAAACGAACGGGCCAGACCTCAGCAAGTATGGGCCATCTGTGCTATAATGGAGGCAGAATGGGTGCTGTGGGATTCAGGGGAGACATCTGTTAGGTGTTGGGGCCTCCCAGAAGAGGTGGGGGCAGAGTCTCAGAGGACAAAGATGAATTTGGAAGAGATGGGGAAGAAGGACTTTAATTCACTCCCAAAGCTTCCTGAGGCCTCTCCTGGGCAGGGCCCTGCAGTACTGGAGACCCAGAGTGGAGTCAGACCAGCTGCTCCTCAGGAGCTGCCAGTCTAGAGGGGGAGGCAGACACCACTGAGGTTCAGGGGAGGTCAGAAAAGGCCTCAAGGGGGAAGCAGGGCTGGAAGGGAATGGCGTTGGATACGTGGTGGGAGGAACAGCCTGAGCATGAAATGGCAGGAGGAAAAATGGCAGCACTGGCTGCGTCTAGGACAAGGTCATGGGAGATCCGGGCAGAGGGGCTGGAAGGGAAGAAGCCACTTTTGTCCTTGAAAGTGATGCTGGGGCCAGGCAACCCACGCCTGTAATCCCAGCACTTTGGGAGGCTGAGGCGGGTGGATCACTTGAGGTCAGGAGTTCAAGACCAGCCTGGCCAACATGATGAAACTTCATCTCCACTAAAATTGCAAAAATTAGCCGGGTGTGGTGGCATATGCCTGTAATCCCAGCTACTTGGGAGGCTGAGGCAGGAGAATTGCTTGAACCCAGGAAACAGAGGTTGTAGTGAGCAGAGATCATGCCACTCCACTCCAACCTGGGCGACAGAGCCTGACTCCATCTCAGGAAAAAAAAAAAGAAAAGAAAAGAAAAAAAGAAGAAGAAGAAAAAGAGAGTGAGAGAAAAAAAAAAAAGAAATTGAGGCTGAAGGACTGGACTTTATCCTGGTGGTGCTAAGGGTCCACGGAGGGTGGTGAGCAGGGGAGGGGAGGGGAGGGGCACAGTCAGCTCCAGATGTGGAAAGATCCTTTGGGGTCATGGGTGGAGGGCAGGCTGGTGGAGGGGACTGGACTGGAGGGGGACCCAAAAGGCCAGATAAAAGGTTGGGATAGGCCAGGCATGGTGGCTCATGCCTGTAATCCCAGCACTTTGGGAGACCAAGGTGGGTGGATCACGAGGTCGGGAGATTGAGACCATCCTGGCTAACATGGTGAAACCCCGTCTCTACTAAAAAAATAAATAAATAAATAAATAAATAAATACAAAAAATTAGCCGGGCGCGGTGTTGGGCACCTGTAGTCCCAGCTACTCGGGAGGCCAAGGCAAGAGAATGGCATGAACCTGGGAGGCGGAGCTTGTAGTGAGCCGACATCGTGCCACTGCACTCCAGCCTGGGCGACAGAGTGAGACTCCGTCTCAAAAAAAAAAAAGAGGTTGGAATAGGGGTCCTTGGTGATGGAGAGAGATCCAGGGGCTGGTAGCATGGTGCTGGAGGCTGACAGGTGGAGGAGTGGGGATGGGGTCTGTCCCAGTGGCTAAGGAAGAATAAACCTTCCAGAGATGGGGGACCAAGAAGGAAGCACAGAGTGGGGTTGGAGGAAGGGGTTACCGGTGGTCCGAAGAAATTTATTAACAGTGGGTGGGATAAGTCTGTGTCTGGAGGGATCCTGGTGGAGGCAGAAGGGTCCTGCCTCACCTGGATTCTCTCCCTCCCTCCCCAGACTGCAGTGGAACCCTGGTCCCTCCTCCACAATGTGGCTTCTCCTCACTCTCTCCTTCCTGCTGGCATCCTCAGGTGAGGTGGATCCAGGAGGGGGCCAGGTCTGTGGGAGCAGGTGCCCCCTTCCCATGCATGTCTGGGCCCAGTGATCTGCCAGCCCCTACCTCACCCAGAGACCACTAAAGATCCTTCCTTCACCCTCCACCGCCATCTGCACCAATGTCCCTAAGCCCTTACCGTCAGGGGCTGGTGCTGCTGCTCTGGAGTCACTAGGCTGCCTGGGGCCTCTCCCTGCCCATGACAAGGAACACGGTCCTGGGGTTACACAAACCTGAGCTGAGTCCTGGGGCAGCGGCTTCCTTGCTGTGTGTCCTTGAGGGAACTGCTTCACCTCTCTGGGCTTCGAGTGTCTTCTCTATCAGACAGCACCGCTTGAGACAATAACGGTGAGGTCTCAATAGCATAACAGAGGTAATATACACAGTAAGCAATAGACAAGCGCTGAGAGGCCAAGAGCACAGACAGACTCCAGCTTGAGTCCCACGCCTGCCACTCCCTGTCTCTCACAGGGTCTTTGAGGGGATTAAACGTGGTTGTGTGTGAGAGAGGAGCACAAGCCTGGCCCAGGTAGTGCTCCTTCAGGTGTGCAAGCCAGGCATGGTGCTTAGAGCTTCCATACAACGTCTATGTGTGGTGGGCACCACCGACTTCATTTGACAAGGGAAGGGGCTGTGGCTCAGAGAGGGACGGCCACATCAAGGTCACCCTGGGTGGCAGGCAAACTCCAGACTGAACTCAGCTGCCACACACCAAGAAATTAATTGTAACCTGATGCCTCTCCTCTGGAGAAATTGAGGGGGGGTAGACTTTCATTAACGTTCTGCCACAAATGACCCTCACTCCTGAGGGCCCCTCAGACCCCCACCCTCCAGCCTCCCCTCTGGCTGTCTCTGTGCACTCACCTACCTGTCTCCCGCCTGCCTGCTGCGCCCAGCTGGGGCCTCCACCTTCCTCTGGCTTGGACTGGTCAGGTGCCGCCTCGGTGCCCAGCTGTTCAGTCCATACCCTCCGCCCTTCGGAGGACGACCTCACCCTTCCTTTGTTAAGCCCCTTGTCTACCACATCCGCATTCCCCTGGTCTCACGGGGGCCTTTGGCCCAGTTTCTGTCTGTGATGGGCAGAGTGTGGGCATTTGGTTTGGCTGTGCAAATCCTGCCCCTGTGTGGGTGGGGGTGTGCATGGCTTCAACCTTGAGGGGACACAACCCCATTGACCAGTGGAGAGGGTCCTGTCCTGTGACCTTGAATGTCTCTAATTATGTCCTTAAGCATAATGCCATTCTGTGTGTGTGTGTGTGTGTGTGTGTACATGCACGTGCGCAGTGGGTATACAAGGCCCTGTATGTTCACATCCTCTCCACATGCATGAACTAGATCCCCATATGTGAAACCCAATCAGTGACCTTGAACGCCACAGATCTGGCTTGGGGGCTGATCCAGAGATGGATAAATATTGTCCTGTCCTGGCTGCCTCTGGCTGCGGCTGCATGTCTTTGACCTTGAATGCCCAGCCCCATGTCTGGGTGCTGCCCCAGACAGCAAGTCCACATGAGAGTTGGCCTTCTGGATTAGCGTCTGCAGCTCTAACTCTAGAAAACGGCTTGTGGGTGAATCACGGTTTTAACCTTGACTTTTTTTTTTTTTTTTTTTTTTTTTTTGGAGACAGAGTCTTGCTCTGTCGCCCAAGCTGGAGTTCAGTGGTGCAATCTCGGCTCACTGCAACCTCTGCCTCCCAGGTTCAAGCAATTCTGTCTCCGCCTCCCGAGTAGCTGGAATTACAGGCACGCACCACCACAGTCAGCTAATTTTTTTTTTTTTTTTTTTTTTTTTAGTAGAGACAGGGTTTTCCATGATGTTGGCCGGGCTGGTCTCAAACTCCTGACCTCAGGTGATCCACCCACCTCGGGCTTGGCCTCCCAAAGTGTTGAGATTACAGGCGTGAGCCACCGCACCTGGCCAACCTTAACTATTTATTATATGTAGGTCTGTGCAGATGTCTGACTTACTTTGGCCATCTTCAGGATGGACCTAAACTTTCACGTGTATGTCCCTATGACTAAATCCAGGTGTCATTTGTAAAAAACAACTAATATTTATTAAGTAGCTACAATGGGCCAGGTATCACTCACCATACATTCACACATGCACACACACACATACACATTCCTACGTCATCCTTACAGCAATCCTCATTTTACAGATGAGGAAACAGAGGCACAGAGAGGTCAAATAACTTACTCAAAGTTTCACAGCTAGTACATTTGAACTCAGGCTTAAGGACCCCTTCTTTGTCCAGACCCTATATGCAAGTGTCTGTGACACTGGATGCCAAGACCCACACTAGATATATTGAATTTAGGTCTAAACCATATCCATTTCTGTGTGTGTGTTTGTGCATGCATGTGTGTGTGTGTGTATTCGTGCATGTGTGTGTGTATTCATGTCTTAACCATCCATATTCATACACACATATGAACATCTGTGCTGTGATTCTTTTCTTTTTTTTTCTTTTTTGAGTGAAGTTTCACTCTTGTCACCCAGGCTGGAGTGCAATGGAGCAACCTCGGCCCACTGCAACCTCCACCGCCCGGGTTCAAGCGATTTTCCTGCCTCAGTCTCCAGAGTAGCTGGGATAACAGGCACCCGCCACCATGCCAGCTAATTTTTTGTATTTTTATTAGAGACGGGGTTTCACCATATTGGCCAGGCTGGTCTCGAACTCCTGACCTCAGGCGATCCACCTGCCTCGGTCTCCCAAAGTGTTGGGATTACAGGCATGAGCCACCGTGCCCAGCCTGTGCCGTGATTCTTGAAGCTGCAACCCATGTGCCTGCAAGTGAATTTCAGCTTCCAGTCCTATCCATAGCTGTACCTAAGTTTGGAAGCTGGATGTGCATGTATGCATGTCCATGACCTCGTATGGCCACATCTGGGACTCACACTGCACACTGAATTTGGCTGACACGTCCAGACTCTGGGGCCAAGGTTGTGTCACACATACTGAGTGGCCACATCCGTTTAATGTTGGTGACAATTTGGTGACCTTGAATGACTGGTTTCAAGTGACCCACTGTCTGAACCTGTATCCAGTGCCCCCGTCTCCACCCCCAAATACAGAGGACTTCTTGTCCTCTGGTCTGTTCCCCTTCCTGTCTCTCCCAGAGTCTTATAGCAAATGGGGTGGGGCCTAGAGTTTTGGAGAAAACAGGCAGCGGTTGTAAATAAACAACAGGGAAGGCGGGATGTGGTGGCTCACACCTGTAATCCCAGCGCTTTGGGATGCTGAGGCGGGCAGAGCATTTGAGGTCAGAAGTTTGAGACCCCCCTGGCTGACATGGTGAGACCTCATCTCTACTAAAAATACAAAAATTAGCCAGGTGTGGTGGCGGGCACCTCAGCTACTTTCGGTAGGCTGAGGCGGGAGAATCACTTGAACCCAGGAGGCGGAAGTTGCAGTGAGCCGAGATCATGCCACTGCACTTCAGCCTGGGCAAAAGAGTGAGACTCCGTTAAAAACAAAACAAAACAAAACAAAACAAAACAAAAAACAGAGCAAGGTATCTTGAGAAGTTGGGAAAGGCATAGGCATATAGTAGTTAGGGTAGGGTGCAAGGAAGGTGTAGGAGGCAATGCAAAGGTCCCTGTCCTCAGGCATCCTCTACCCCTTCTCCTAGCAGCCCAGGATGGTGACAAGTTGCTGGAAGGTGACGAGTGTACACCCCACTCCCAGCCATGGCAAGTGGCCCTCTACGAGCGTGGACGCTTTAACTGTGGCGCTTCCCTCATCTCCCCACACTGGGTGCTGTCTGCGGCCCACTGCCAAACCCGGTATGAAGGCAGGGCTCAGGGTCCTGAGGGAGCCTGGTGCGGGGAAGAGCTCCTAGCTTTGGGGGAAGACAGAGGCAGACGCCAGAACTCCTGGGTTCTGAAAGACCAGGAGGCTGGATGTCAAGCCTCTGGGTGAGAGGGGAGTGTGTGTTTCAAAGCCTTAGATCTCTGAAGGAGTAAGGAGAAGACTCGTTCCAGCTTTTGAGCCTCAGTTCTAGAGAATCCTGGAATCAGGGAGAGACCAGCAGGGGGCTGGGAGTAGTTGGAGGGGATAGAGTTCTAGGAGTGTGCCTGACTTCAGACTCGTTGGTCCTTGAGGAGCATTTTGGCTTCAGGGTCTTGGGAAAAGGTAATGGGATATCGAGATTCCTAAAGGGTCGGGGGACCTCGGGCTGCCCACTCTTTGATCCTTCTGTCCTCTACTTGCGGGTAACCACTGGCGGGAAAACCACTCGCCCGCACAGCTTCATGAGAGTGCGCCTGGGGGAGCACAACCTGCGCAAGCGCGATGGCCCAGAGCAACTACGGACCGCGTCTCGGGTCATCCCACACCCGCGCTACGAAGCGCGCAGCCACCGCCACGACATCATGTTGCTGCGTCTAGTCCAGCCCGCACGCCTGACCCCCCAGGTGCGCCCCGTGGTGCTACCCACGCGTTGCCCCCACCCGGGGGAGGCCTGTGTGGTGTCTGGCTGGGGCCTGGTGTCCCACATCGAGCCTGGGACCACCCGGAGCCCCCAGTCACAAGGTGCGTGAAAGGATGGAGCTGGATGCGAGGCCTCAAGGAATCCTATGCTCCAGGGCTCTTGGGCGGAGGGGACAAGGGCCAGAATTTATGGATCTGCTCCAAGTCCACTGTCCTCCCCAGTGAGTCTCCCAGATACGTTGCATTGTGCCAACATCAGCATTATCTCGGACACGTCTTGTGACAAGAGCTACCCAGGGCGCCTGACGAACACCATGGTGTGTGCAGGCGCGGAGGGCAGAGGCGCAGAATCCTGTGAGGTCAGAGCCCAGAGGGGCCCTCAGGCGGAAAAAGAGGGATGGAGACAGGTGTGGGAGTCCGGATGGGGTTGTATTTTCTTTGCTTTGGGCCAGAGAAGATGCTAGGGTTAGGCTTGGAGATGGAGAGAAGTTAGAGTAGGGGTGAGGTTGGAGTTGGGGTTATAGGTGGGGATTGCGATGTTTGAGGTGGATAATGTGATAGTTGGTTTGAGATGGCATGGGTTGGGGCTGAGAATGGGAATGGTTTGGTTTGATTTTGGGTGGGAAATATGTTAGGATTGAATTGGGATGAGGTAGATTTTATTTGGAATGCAGAAGACACAAAGATTGAGATTGGATTTTGAGATGGGCATGGGTTTGGTTTGATTTTGAATGGTGAGGATGTGGGCTGGGTTGGATTTAACTTAGTTCAGTTGCACTGGGGTTGCATGGGGGTGAGATTGGACATAGGTTGGGTGAATTGTATTGAGCTGTGTTGAACTGGGGTTGGGGTTGGGTTGGCTTCGTTTGGGATAAACTGGGATAAACTGGGACAATCCCAACTGAGTTGGGTTGGGATTCCCTGGGATGGGGATGGATTAGGTTTGGGGTGAGATTGCAAATGGTGATTAGGATGAGGATGAATGCAGTGAATCCAGGAGGTTTCACTCAACCTGAGACCCCATCTTTTCCCCACAGGGTGACTCCGGGGGACCCCTGGTCTGTGGGGGCGTCCTGCAGGGCATTGTGTCCTGGGGTGATGTCCCTTGTGACAACACCACCAAGCCTGGTGTCTATACCAAAGTCTGCCACTACTTGAAATGGATCAGGGAAACCATGAAGAGGAACTGACTATTCTGGCCTATTACCTGTGCCCCTGACTGAGCAGAGGCCTCCACAGCTGGCCAGCAGCCCCACCTGACATGGAACAGAATGGAGCCGTCCCCCAAGACCCTGTCCAAGGCCCAGATGTTAGCCAAGGATTGTCCCACCTGAGGACAAAGCTGGCGCTCAAGGTCACCTGTTTAACGCCAAGATAACAAAGCACTGTGATCCAAGCTTCTCTGTAGGAATTTCTGTGACTTTTTTCTGGGGTCAAAGGGAAACCCAGAGACACTGTACACTGTTCCTTTTCACCTACCACCCCGATCCCTAGGTGAGGAGAAGCGGCTTGAAGCAGGGCTCCATTCATTCAACACACATGACCACCCGTGTGATCTTGAACAAGAGGCCCAATCTCCCTTGGCCTTGGTTTCCCCATCTGTAAAATGAGACCATCTTATTGCTGACTTCAAAGGGCTATTTTGAGGATTAAATGAGATGATTTGTCTGAACTGATTAAAATAGTGTCTGGCACTGAGTAAATACCCTCTATCTCTGGATCCCACTTATAGGACCTAGCAGACACTAGATTACCAACAATGGCTTTTTCTTTAAGATTTAGTTCTGGGCTGGGCACGGAGGCTCACACCTGTAATCCCAGCACTTTGGGAGGCCAAGGCGGGCCTTGAACACTTGAGGTCAGGAGTTCAAGACTGGCCTGGCCAACATGGTGAAACCCCATCTCTACTAAAAATACAAAAAAATTTAGCCGGGTATGGTGGCACACGACTGTAATCCTAGCTACTTGGGAGGGTGATGTGGGAGGATTGCTTGAACTTAGGAGGCAGGAGTTTCAGTGAGCCGAGATTGTGCCACTGCACTCCAGCCTGGTGATAGAGCAAGACTCCATCTCAGGAAAAAAAAAAAAATTAGGTTCTGGGCTTCCTGGTAGCCATGGCAAAAAGGCAAATACTGTCCTTTTCTTAGCCAGGTCCCTGATACACAGCAGAGGCTGGAACTCTGAGCTGCTTTGATTTTTCCAAAAAGCTAAGACAACATGTTGGAAGCCTATGGGTTTACCATTGAGGCTGCAGGAATCTAGTTCCTAATTATCTTCAGAGACTACAAAATGTGATGTTCAAGGTAGCTGAACATTGGAAGTACATGAACCTGGCCCATGAGACCTAAATATTGTACTGGTGGATTGGGGGTAGGGGGTAGGGGTCATTGGAATCTGTGGTTAGTCTGATCGTGACCTGTGAGGGAAGGTTGTCCAGATCTCTAGGACTTTGGAGGACAGGACGTTGAGCACTCATAACTGGGAGTAAGAAGTGGGAGGCTCATTGGGACCCCAACACTGTTTGGGAGGGACATTGGATTTTGTAATGCTAAAGAACTTACCCTGGGAGACCCCTGAAACTTCACAAGCCTGGATCTGGAGGCACTAGGAATGTGGTGATGTGTACCCCAAAATTTTATTATAAAAGGAACAGTAGCTTTGGGGACCTAGGTCCTGGGTCTGGAAGTGCAAGAACCAGGGCATTCTGAAGGCCAAGGCTTATATTTCAGGGGGAACTGGCAGCTGAGATGCTAGTATCTTGGCTCTGAGCGGTGCAGGGAATTAGAGCCCTAACTGCTGATATTTGAGGGCACCAGGCCTTGGGGTGCAGGGCCTTAATTGGGACTTAGGTATATGGGGCTTTGTACCGGGGATCACTGATTCCTCCACCCTCCTGTTTCTGCTTCCCCTCAGTCCCCCCTTGCCTCACTGGCTGTTCCCCAGAGCAAAGCCCCAGAGCCACAGGCCCTGCCCCATTTGGCTTCAACCCCAGGAATGCGTCCAGCGTGATCTAGGGCCTGCAGAGCAGGTGCTGGCTCTCCCTCCGTGTCCACAGCTCTGGGGACTGGCGGGGGGGGCGGGGGGAGGCGATTGTTCAGCCCCCAGGCAACAGGGGAAGGGCTTTGGCCAACATCTGGGAGCCAGCAGGGCAGGGGTGGGGCTCTGAGGGGATAAGAGCTTTTAAAAGGCTCCCCAGGGAGGTTCCCCAGCTCCTCCACCTGCCGGCCCCTGGACACCTCTGTCACCATGTGGTTCCTGGTTCTGTGCCTCGCCCTGTCCCTGGGGGGGACTGGTGAGACAGTGGGGGGATGTGGGAGGGGGAACGGGCCCTGATTCTCTTGCTGCCCTCACCCCGCCGATAAGCCCTTCCCCTCCAACAGCCCAGCCTCGTCCCTCTGGCCCACAGTCTATCCTGGTCCGGGGTGCCCCAGCTCTTATCTGTCTTGCATGGCCCCACCCTAAACTTCCACCCCAGCTCCTCCATGTTGTCACAGTCCTCACTCCCACACCAGATCCCTGCTCCTCCCAGGAAGCCTCAGTACTTTCTTCTCTTCCCTAGCCAACGCCCTGTCCCACCGCTTACCACAGGGGCAGATTCTGGGCCATCTCTGTCTCTCTTTGGAGGACCCCAACTCTCCCATGGGCTTCCCCAACCCCACAGGACCCCAATCATCCCCTCCTGCCCCTTAGGTTCCCTGCGGCCACCTATTTGGCTTCTGAGTCTACAAATCCCACCACACTCCAGTGACTTTTTCCATCCAGCTGTCCGCTCTCAACTGTGTCTTCCAGACCCTGACATCTGGTCTCCCCAATCCTTCCAGGGTCCCCCAAATTTCACCCGACAACCCTGCTTCCCATACTGGCATGTGGGATCCCCCATCTGGTATGGGGGGGTCTGCAAATGTCCCTTCCCACCCAGCACCCCCAGCTCTCCCAGGAAAAACAGGCACACCCTCCCACCACATGCTCCTTTCCTTGGGGAATTTCCATCCCGCCCCAGTCCCCAGCCCTTCTCCACCTGAATTGTTCCTGCACAGCTCTGGTTTTCTGGAACCCCACCCCAAGGATCCCGAATGCCTTCTCAGCCAGCCCTTCCGCCCTGGCCTCCCCCAAGTCCTATGTGATTCTACAACCTCACATCGAGCGGGTCTTGCATTGCATTCCCACACCTGCTCGGCGCCTGTTTTGACCACTTCTCCCATCCTCTTCCTGGGATTGAGGGCCCCACATTCCTCCAGTACCCTCAGACCATGAACCCCATCCCCTTGATAAACAAAGATCCATCCTTCACCCTGTCCGAGGAGGACGGCTACTCACGCCTCCCTCCTCCTGAGCCCCGTCCCAGTCCTGACCCCAACTCTGTTCTCAGGGCCCCAACATCCCCTCAGATTGCCATTCCCAGTTCACAGGAAGGACCCCAAAACCTCTCGGAAGCCCACCCCTACCCTTAACCATAGCCCTTTATTTTACCCATTAACCAGGAAGCCCTGAAATCTAACTGTCCCAGCCACGCTGGCCCCTTCCAACCCCAGTGTAGGGACCCCAAGTCACCCCCAAACTCGTCAGTCCAGATGCTCTTCTTGACCTCTCAGACCCGGTTCACTAAAGCTGCATCCTCTCCTGAACCCCCAAAGCCCAACCCAGATCCTGTTTCCCTAGCCTGGGAGCCCCTTAGCCCTCCAGATTCTTCCTTAGTGAGCCTCTGATCCTGTCTCACCCTTGGCGCCTTGATCCCTGGTTTCCAGAATCCCTTTCCACTCTCCTAACCCACCACCTCCCATCCCCCAGCCCCAGACCCCAAATGACCTGACACCCAGATGCAGTGTCGGCTCCAGACACTGTCTCATGTCTCCTACCCTGATCCCTGGAGGCTGCTCTACTGTCAGAGCATGAAATCTCCCCACCAGGGCCAGCCAGCACTCCAAAAGCCCAGGGAACAGTCCAGAGTCCCAGCCCTTCCCAACACCCCTTGCCCATGTCCCCAGACCTCCAGCCCTGGTCCTCTACCTGCAATGTCCCTTCAGACCCACAGCCCCAGCTCCCTCTCCTGGCCTTGTCCCTGGCCTCTCCTGCCAACCCTGCCCTCCCTGACCCAGCACCGCCTCTGCAGGTGCTGCGCCCCCGATTCAGTCCCGGATTGTGGGAGGCTGGGAGTGTTCCCAGCCCTGGCAGGCGGCTCTGTACCATTTCAGCACTTTCCAGTGTGGGGGCATCCTGGTGCATCCCCAGTGGGTGCTCACAGCTGCCCATTGCATCAGCGAGTGAGTAGGGGCCTGGGGCCTGGGAGGAGGGCATCTCTGCTGCCACAGGATTGAGAGGCCAGTGGCATTCCCCTTGGATAACCTCAGGCAAGACGGGGAGGCTGAGGCAGAGAGGAAGGCTGTGGCGCAGGTCGCATGGCAGGGCAGAGCTGGGCTGGACACCCTTCCCCAAGGCTCTCCGGGTCTCTTGGGATCTGGTTCTGCTTGTGCCTCTGTGTGACTGTGCTTTGGTCTCTATCTTTCTATCTCTTCCCTGTCTCCTTGTCTCTGCATCTCCCCTGTCTCTGTCTGTCTCTGGGTCTCTCTGTGGCATCTCCGTCACGGTGTCTCACCCTCCATCTCTCTACCCATCTCTCTCTCTCTGGGTCTCTACTTCACCCTCCCCCATCCCTACTAAAAACACACCCAGATGGGCCTAAGGGAGGCCCCAGAGTGAAGGAAGGGCTTTATCCCCAACGTGTGTACCTGGGAGGGGGCGCCTCTCCCTCTGTCCAGCCCCTACAGGATATCCCTCCATTCTGGAGGGACACAAGCAAGGGCTGGTTTCAGCGGGAGCTGGGTGGGGCAACAGGGAGGAAGAAGGAGGCGGGGTGAGAAACGCGGAGGAGGGTGCCGGGGAGGGAAGGGGGCCTCGACCTTGGACTTCAGGCCAGGCCACCTGCCCCTGGGGAGCCCGCACCACAGCCCCAGCTGCAGCTGAGCCGCTCTCAGGCCTCCCCTCCTCCCTACCTGCCCCCCCCCTCCCCAGGGCCTCCCTCCCTTTTCTCTCCCACACTCGGCCACTCCTCCTTCCTCTCTGCCTCTGTTTCTCGTTCTCGCTCTGACTTCCCGCGTCCTTTTTCGTTTGTCTGCGTCTCGCTCCCTTCTGGGTTCTGTTCCCTCTTCCTCCCTCTTCCCTGGGCCTGTTTCTCGCTGTCCCTGTCTTTTCTCCTTCTCACCGACCTCTTTTTTCCTCATCCTTTTCTCATTGCCCTCCCTTCTGCCTCTCTCACCCCTCTGTCCTTTTGAGCTCTTTTTCGCTCTGTCTCTTCATTTACCTTTTGCACTCTCACACTTTTTCATCTTCCCATTCGCTGTCTGTATTTCTCCATAACTATATCTTTCTTCCTCTGTCTCCGCCCACCCAAGTTTTTCTCTTTCCCTTTCCCTCTTTGGGGACCCTCCCCCATGCTCCCCTGCCCCATCCTCCTTTCCCCTTCCCGTCTTCTCATCCCTCCATTCCCATCTTTCCTCAGCAATTACCAGCTCTGGCTGGGTCGCCACAACTTGTTTGATGACGAAGACACAGCCCAGTTTGTTCATGTCAGTGAGAGCTTCCCACACCCTGACTTCAACATGAGCCTCCTGAAGAACCACACCCGCCAAGCAGACGAGGACTACAGCCACGACCTCATGCTGCTCCGCCTGACGCAGCCTGCCGAGATCACAGACTCTGTG